CTGGGCCCCAGAAGCAACGGGGTGAGAAGCCAGGCTAGCAAAGTTGTGAGGCCATCCAGGTTTGCCTTTGGGAACTTCCCATCTCACATTTCTCTTCTTTGCTTTTAACCCCACAAGCCCTACTCCTTAGCCCATAACAATTACGACCCAAGAATCTCACATTCCGCCAACCCAAGTTTTGCTTCTCTCTGATAGCAATTTTTCCCTACAATGTCCCTTTCCATTTTCTTCTATCCCCTCAAAACGTGACTCATTCTGGGTCTCGTGGGCCCCTCTGCAAAAGTCACATCTAAGTTTCTGATTAACATACTCAGCAAACTTAGGTTTAGGTCATAGATTGATATGGTGCTTTTCTCAAGGTTGTCTGTGTTTTAAACAAGGAACTCAGTAATGCTTCATCCAAAAGAGTAAACCCCCAATGGTAGAGCTCTGGAAGCTTTAGAGATGCTTAGAGCTTCTAGGAAACAAAGAAAGCAGATATTTTGGGCCGGGGGGCAATGGCTCACGCCTGTAATCCTAACACTTTGGGAGGCCAAGGCGGGTGGATCACTTGAGGTCAGGAGTTTGAGACCAGCCTGGCCAACATGGTGAAACCCCCATCTCTACTAAACATAGAAAAATTAACCAGGTATGGTGGCACATGCCTGTAATCCCAGCTGCTCGAGAAGCTGAGACAGGAGAATCACTTGAACCTGGGAAGCAGGGGTTGCAGTGAGCCGAGATTATGCCACTGCACTCTAGCCTGGGAGGCAGAGCAAGACTCCGTCCCCAAAAAAAAAAAAAAAAGAGGATATTTTGGGTCAGAGGCAGGCTCAAAATCCCTTGTGGGTCGAGGATAGGGATCACAGTACATATATGAACACATCCTCTGCCAACACATTAGCCTTCCTGAAAATCAAGAAAACAGACAATTGTCAAACGAAGAAAGGCAGTGGTCGTTGGAGTGTGTGTGTCAGCAAGCAGGGGGATAAGAGTGCATTTACACGCATATGCGCCTGCGCGTATTAGAGGGGAGGGACTTCCAACTGGCTACTGTTCCTCAGCTTGTTTCCAAGAGATAAAAATGACAGCTGTTTGGCTTATACAGTTAATTAACCTGAGGAATGCGCTGTGTAAGACTGTTACTAAGGCAGCTGGGTAACTAAGTTTTTCCCCAGAAAGGGAGGGAATGGGGGATAAATAAAGCATTTAGGAGAGCAGACACAACACTGGAGGAGACATTGTCGGGAGCAGAAATCAGGGATAGAAAGCTTTCCAGCTAATCCGCTGGTTCTTGAGAACTGTGTGCCATCCCGGAAATGACTGAAGGGCATGGCGCAACCCCTGCCTTCACACGCCCTGAGAGAGGACAGTGGACTCTCGGGGTCACACACAGCCCAGCTGTCTCTGAGAAGCAAGCTGAGTGGCCAGAGCTGAATAAACAGCAAAGTTTGACTAACTCCTTCACTTCACACACGGAAAAATGGCGGTTTGTAGAAGAGCCCTGACTTTCACAAGGTCACATCCCTGTTATTAGTGTCAGACCCAAAACCAGAAAGAGGGAGCCTTCAGCCCCAGTCTGGGATGACTTCACTAACCATGACTGCCTGTGGATTCTTCAACAGCTCACTCTAAGTCAGATTGGCATCAATCACCTTGAGAGGCACAGAGGAGGGCAGCCCAGGGATAGGTGGATTTTAGTGAGGTACGTGAACATATGTCCTGATCAGGGAAGAAATGCTCAGCAGTGTGCTTTGCAGATGGGGCAGCCTCTGCATGCGGATGCAGCCACCAGGAGGGGGGCAGGAGAGAAGGGTTGGATAGAATAGTTTGCATCTGCCAGGCACCAGGTTTGTGGTCACTTTACACATTCTTTTGTGCAGTCCTCATGACAACCACTGAAGCCCATTTTTCAAATGAGGCCCAGGGATAGCACAGAAGTAAATGAGGGCAGGGAAGCATCACAGAATCACAGACGTTTTCATCCATGCCTTGAGATTGAGGGAATAATGGTGCAGTGAGTTTTCCTAGAATCCATCTAGGAGCTGGAAGAAAGAAAACAAGAGGCCAGGGTGATGGGACTACAACTTCAGGCCGTTTTGGTAAAGAACAGCCTTGTCCCAACCATAGACCGTTAATGGGTCATCAAAGCAGACGAGCCCAGAAGGGCAAAGTTAGGGAGGCAGAGAAGATGCCATAAGGCAAAGCTAGCCAAGACCTATGTCCATTGCAGGGTTGCAACATGGACCCAGAATTTACAGAAGCAAGCCCTTGAGACCGATGGGATTTAGCAACTGAGACAGAATTGGGTAGAGGAGGTAACATGAAAACAGGCTAAGACTGGTCCACAAATAAAAATTAAAAAAAAAAAAAAGCCACACTTGGAGGTAGGAAACTAGGAGAGACAATTTTGGAACTAAAAGGAGTCTCCACTGCTCCTGTAACTCCATTCTGCTGAGTCGCCCTGTGTTAGTTGACTGAAACTGGGGGTAGGGAGTGGAGGGAGTAAGGCAGAAATGTCCAGGGGTCATAAATGCCCACCCCATTGCCCTTGCATTCATGGCACATCAGTAGGATGTGGCACAGAAGAATGATCTGGTCCTGGGGCTCAGGGCTCGCTGTCATCCCTGCATGAAGATAGAACAGAGGCACTAACCAGAGGCCTTGGCTTCAGGGAGGTGTATCTGTGGGAGTGGGAACTGGTAGACAGAGGTGAGAGGGGTAATAGGGAAGGGCGAAGGGAGAGGCAGTAGGAATGCAGCATTGCATTCGGCCAGCCTCGTTTCCGGCTGTAGCTGTCCAGTACACCACCTACCTCTAACTACTCAGAAAACTCAATACACAATGTGTTTCTCTCAGAAGCCTAAGGTCCCAGCACACACCCAAACCCTCCCAATAGTTCACAGGGAAAACAAGAGCCACTTCATGGGGCGTTATACGAATTATTCAAGATAATTTATATAAAACTCTTAGCATGATGCCAAGGACATACATGATATGCTTAACGAATTATAGTTGCCGTTGGTATCATTTAATAACAAAACAAACTTAAAAACTGACATTAGAACTCAACAGAATTAAAACCTGAATTTCTAGTTCTTATCACGCAGCCACCAATGCATCCAGAGAGGGTTCAGGGTACATCTGTCCAGAGAATGAAAAGGGAGTCTCTATGCCTTTAGTATCTATCTTCATTGCTGGAACTCATGGCCTTTGGGAAGGGTAGGCATGTAGTAGTGAGGGAAAGAGAAATGAAACAAGACAGAGAGGTGGAAAATGGGGGAGAGATGCTGATTGTCAGCAGTCGGCTCATTGCCAAAGAATGCTGAGGAAAAGAAGGGACCCTAAAGACCATCTCATCTAATACATACAGAAAAGGACAGCAAGGCTTCGACAGGGGTAATCTCTTGCCCAAGGTCACACCTCAAGTGGTGTGACATGAAAATATACACTACACTCAAGACGATACTCCCTGCCATCCTCTATTCTTTCCAAAAGGCTAGATAAATTTATTCCCCCTTAGAAAAAAAAGAAGAAAGAGCCAGTGCTTCTCAGCTTTCACAGCAGAAAAATAGCTGAGATTTATCCATCCCCAGGGTTGCAAAAGTCTAGACTTCTGTTTTATAAGCACCCTGTTTTGCTCTCAAGGGGATGCTTAGGAGCAGCGAAGACAGTTGGTTTCCCAGGGCATCAGAGAGGCAGAGGGCAGGTCAGTGTGAAGCCAAAAGCCCTAGGCCTGGAGGAGGAGAGACTTTTCGGATGGGGCTGGGATTGAGGGTACATCCCAACAGAGGGGCCTCTGACCTCTCCTTGCCTCCCCTCCCAAAATGCAAGTCAGCCTGAGAAAGGAAATCGGCAGAGGTCTCCCTGAAATTTTTAGACATGGGCTTGTAATTTGGAGGAAACAGCCAAAATCACTCTGTTGCCTAAAAAGCTCAATACTGCCAGGTCCCCTGATGCTCATGGAGTAATCTAGACCCACAGGGAGTGCTGGCTAGGAATGGCCATCTTACCCAACCCTGTCAAATGGGCTTCCCCACATCCAAGTGGGTGAGATGCAGAAACCACAGCCATCTCTGCTCAGCACCTCCAGTCATTTCCCTATACCATGTGTAACTAAAATAGCCAAGATAATGCAGGGACTAGAAGGGCAGTGAGGCCCAGAGGCCGTATCACATACCACCTTCCACAGCCCAGAAGACAAGGGCAGCCTGGAAAGGGGAAACCACAGATAACCCAGGTCTCTTTCCCCAAAGCCTGCAGCAACTCGGGACAAATCACTCCCTTATCCATTCCCTTGTTCAAGCAAAATGGCCGAATGAGGCAGCTGGTAGACAAGAAAACACTGAGCGATTTCAACTTTGGTAAAGAAAGATTCCACCCTGCTGAGGGCAGACAAAAAGAAAACCAAAGTTCCTACAAAAAAAGACCCAGAGACAATGTAGAAGAAAAATACAACAGCTGTTTATAAAAGCCATGCCTAACAGGTGATGTTAGTCGTAGTTCAAAGCGTTGTGTTTCTGGATTTGATCCAACTTACACCTGAGCCTCTGACCCTGCTGGAGAAGTTCAAGTCACTTCCTCATCTATCTCACTGACTGTGGCACAGCTCAGTTCCTGACATGGCAAGAACACAGTTCGGCCCACACATCCCAGCACCAAACTAACACAGGAGGCTCTATACACCTAAATGGCCAGTGTTTGGCCTATTTGCCTATTCCCAAGACTTGAAAGACTATCCTGCCCATGCCCAAGGACTGAGAAAAGACTCCATGCCATCTCAGAGAGATAAGAGAGAAATGAGCTATTTAGTTAATTCTGAGTACATTTCCTCTTGCCCAACTAACAAGTAAATTTCTTAGAGGCAAGGATCTGGCCTTATACTTTTACTGCACTCCCCAGTCCACGTAGTGCACAGGGCTTGGCCTACACCAAGTACATTCTAAGTATTCAGTGGACAAATGGCAGCTTACACATCCCTCCCATCCCGCTTTCCTCCAGTCCTGGGAAGTTGGGCCTACCTCACCATGCTGGGTGCAGTAGGTCTCAGGCTTGGTCAGTCCACAGGTAGATGAAGCTCGGAGAAACCGGGTCCTCCCAACAAGCAGGTCCCCGACAGGTGGATAGCAGGCCCCACGGGAGCAGGCTTGCTGGGCATGCAGGAGGCCAGGTAAGGCTGAAATCATACGGATGTGTGATGGTACAGTCCAGAAAGAGAGGGACCTCGCTGGCCACCCCCAGTGTCCTTCAGGGAAGCTGACATTAGCAAGATTATATCCTCTCCCTCACTCAAGCTTCCACTCGCTGCTGGTGGTAATAATTGCAGTATTGATACTGTTAGATTTTAAAAGTTGATTTCATATTCTATATAACTCAAAACTTGAAAAGGAGAGAGGAGAAACACTGGCAACCAAAAACCATAGATGACCCTAAAATATGGCTTTTAGAACCAGACTGGAGATATTGACTCGGCCATCATGACAAGGTCTGCGGCTCTTTCTACCTGCATCGTGGCCTCTGTGAGCAGCCCAGCGGAGGGCTGACTGCTGAGCCCTTGGTGGAGCATTCAGAAAGGCCTGCATTCATTCTGCTCCTTTATCTTCAAAGCTGCCCCAGCCACACTTTGGGAGTGCCCAGCTACAATTCACTGGAAAATAGGAACTTAAGCCACAAAGGCTTCGGAACGAGCTTGAGAAAGGATGGGAAACTGTGGAGAACACTTGGGAAACCACAAACCACCCTCGGGTAAGAATAAGAAGACGTTTGGGAGCCTTTCCAGAGTGGCAGAGAATCTTCTCCCCCAAAGGCCCAAACGAATGGGGAAATCTCACAGGTGTCCCCAGTAGACAAGTATTCCCAACTGAAGGGACTACAGGTGACAGGTGATGCCCACACTTTGGTAAACTCTCCTCCTCCCGTGGCTGTCGCCTCCCTGCCATATAACAGGCCTGGAAGGATGAGAAGGGGTACTTACCAAAACACAAGAGGAAGAGTGGTCTCATCTTCAGCCAATGGGGTGATCCCCAGAGAGGACCTTACCTAGGACAGAGCAAAGCAACCTGGGTACAACACTGCAAACACCTAGAGCACACTAGCCCCTTTTCTTTTCTATTTCTAGACTCAAGGTTTTTTTTCAGAAGTCTTTACGTAGGGTCCTGATCTAGAACACTTGGTGCAGCAGATACATTTGTAGCCAAAAGCTTGGAAAATGCTGGAGCTCTAGACCCTCTCAAGTGGCATGTGACTCACAGGATGCCCTGCGAAAATCCCATCCCCTCCCATACTCCAGCTTCCTCCTCCAAAATGGATGGGAAGGAGTGTGGACCCTGCTCTACCCCACACAGCCATAAGGACAATGTGGGGAGCAGGAAAAGGCTGGACCCCTTGCAGGAGAAAAGCTGTAGGAAGGTCCAAGGCCTAGTTCCTGCCCCGAGAGGGCTGGCTTTTCTCAGGGCCTAGACCAGCAGCCTCAATCCAGCCCAGTGCAAAGTGAATGAGTCAGAGTGGCTGACAGCCTGGAGGCAAGCCTTCTCCTGCCATGGGCATGGCCTCCAATACCATCCAGGGCCACTTAGAGTTTGAGGCTGTGTGCCCACAATTCTGGGCTAAGCAGGCAGCTGGGATGCAACAGGGAGAGATGTATGGCTGTCTTTAACAAGTGAGTGAGGATTTCATCTGAAAGGGAAGCAACCCAAAATGTCTTCAATGATGGGCTGGGGCTCGACAAGAGGGGTGGGGCTGGGAGGCCACAAAGCAGGGATTCTGAAGGAGGCTGGGGAAGGATGCTCGAAAGCCACTGTGGGGTCCCAGAGGCAGGCTTGCCTTGTGGAAGCATGTCCCACCCTTGCTCATGCAGTGACCCCCTCTGTCTTGAATTGGATGTTCACTCTGTTCCAATGACAGCCACAAACTCTTTTGGCTGGGGTGGAGGACTGGGGGCTTGGCAAGGCAGGGGCAGAGGGGAATTGAGGACATTCCTGCCATCTTTAAATTATAGATCCTAATGCTTCAAAATCATTCCTTCTAATCCCTCTCCTAAAAGAGTCATGGGCCCAGGGAGGGAACATGTGGTCTGAGGTCCCACAGCTAATTGGCCTAAGAGAGACCCATCTTCTGACTTTCATCCAGTGCTTTCTCAGCTTTCCCACCCCTGACTGGAAATCCCCCTGGAAGTAGACATTCTGAGCCAGGCCAGCCCACCCTTTTCACTTCTCTTTTGTGCTCAACCCCGGATCTGAACCTGCTTTCCTCTAAGCCACTGAGGTGCTTATCAAATGTGAAAAAGCAATCAAAACTGTAGCAGACATTTTAACCTAGCTCACCTGAGTGAGCTCCCAGGAAGAGGAATAAATCAGGTCCTGCAACCAGGCCCCAGGCACCCAGAGATACAGTTCTCCTCCCCCATCCGGCCCCCACCAGGCAGGTAAAGACAGGTAACCTACCTCACTGTGTGTTCTGCCGTTCTTCCTCCAGATCGCCTGAAAGCTCCTCTTGAATGTGGGGTCTCCCCTCCTGGCTCCAGGTTTTTAAACAACAGCCTCACCTCTGGAGACTCCCTGGCTGGGTGTAGCCCCACCGCAGGGCGGGCCTCAGGAATCTGGCAGCCGTCACACCCATCTGTCGTCACTGCACCCCCACCTCCCAGGACAGGACTGGGCAAGTGGGTCGATCGGTTGGTCCTAGAGACCTTGCAGTAAGCTCCACAATGCCCGCCTCCCTGTGGGGGCTGCAAGGGGCACCACAAACAGCACCAGGCACATGTAAGTGATCATCAGAGACCAGGATTCATAGGGTGGGGAAGGGCCCTTGCATCTGTGCCAGGCAATGAACTCCTCATTTTCCCAAGGCCAGCAGGGGTCAGCTTCTTCTTGTGACCTGGACCACCCCAGACAGAAGATCCGGCAGAGAACGCAAAGATTAGGGCTTATATAGAGAGTTAAAGCCCCAGACATGTCACTGGGCTGGAAGGTGAAAAGACCCAAACATCCAGGACCCTGGAAAGTACCATTCCCCTCCCCAGTGGAAAAAAAAAAATGAAAAATCCCAGCTTCTTGGGGAATTTGGAGGATCCTCAAAAGGCAAGGTTCATCAGGAAGGATTCAAAGCTCAACTCATCCAAGGAAAGCTTAAGAGAAATGAGCAGAGTAACTCTAAATGCCTCCCCTCCAGCTCCTTCCACAGAGTTGGCAGGGAGCCCTGGGACAGGTAACTGCCTGTGAGTCACTCCTCCCACCTGTGGGGAGGGTTAGTCTCCTAGCCCCTCCCTCCCTGGGCAGGAATGCCCGCCTGGAGGGCCAGAAAACAGACCTGACCACAAGTGGTGGAAGGAAAGGCTGAAGCATAGCTAGACTGACAAAGTCAAAACAGACTTTCCCTGGCCTCCTGCCAGGCCTGAGAACACAGCTTCCTTTGTGGGCTCCTTGCTCAGGGCTCCTGGGCTTCCAGCCACTGTAAATGGACGTGGCAGGTCCAAATTGAGAGGCTGGTCTCACAGGACACTCTTTCCCCCAGGTTAGAGTTGGAGAACTTTTAGGGAAACCTGGAGGGCCACCCAGTCCATATCTTGGCCCTGGAGAGCCTGTACTGGCACCGTTTTGGAATGCTAGGACCTCAAAGTTGCTATTTAAAGGAACTTCTTAACTACCTATTCCACTTCGTCAGTGTCTCCTAAACAGAAAGTTCTCTACCATTGGAGGGTTATGTCCAAGAAATTGGCTTGAAGACCCTTAAGGGGGAAATGTAGAATTTTGTGGATTAAATTGGGCATTTCTAACCCTCAGATTCTAATTTAGCATAAGTTCAGATAGGCAGAAGAAACTATGTAATTAGCAAAGTGGGCAGTAAGTTGTTGATGCAAGTTGATGCATAATTGATATTCCAATAAATGTTAGAGTCTTGCCCCCTGTAAGCATTCCAGTGAAATCTAGCTCAAGTCAGCAAGTAAGGGTCAGTAGAAGCAGTGTCTCTTCAACACAAAGAGACCTCCCTCAAGTCTCCCACAGAGAAAGGTCACCTCGGACACTGACACGCCTGTGTTTTCAGTTCTCCCACCTGGTGGTCTCTTTCTCTCCACTTCCCCAACTCCCTGAACTCAGTCAGAGCTCTCAGGAAACTTTCGCCCTCTGCCCATCACCAGAGAATGTGACAAAGAACTCATTAATAATTAACTCAGCAGAAGAGAGCAAGGTGTTGCAATCCCAGATCCTCAGAGGAAACAAGGCAGGGCAGGTGTGCGGTGGGCCTCACCATGAGTAGCTAGGGCTCCTTAAATCCACCCCCCTCCCTTTATCTGAGGCCATGAGCCCAGGTAAATACACATTCGGTGTCTCAGACTTCACAGGCTTGGGCAGGTCCTGGAGTGGTTTGGCTTCACAGGAGGGACATGCCAATTGCTGTGCTTGGCTCTCCCCCACACTCCTGGCAAAGTCCAGGAAGCTGTTTATGCAGACCCCCAAGAGCGGCCCAGCCAGCCTCACTCCTGAGGGACACTGATCATTTCCAAGTGGGGATCCAGTCCCCTGAGAACTCTAGGGCTCTAGGCACAAACTTTGGAACTTCAGAACCCACTTTGTTCAGTCAGGTAGCCTCAAATAGAGCCTGAGGCCAGATCAGGGTCCAGCTAAGATTAAAAGGGTATGGTACTGTGGCTTGAGCCCCTCAGCCTCCCCTGTGTGCACACCTTTCCTCTCTCCCTGCGCCCATCCTCTTACATCAGAGCACTCATCTGCCCTAGAGCCTTGGCTTATTAGAATGTGTGCTCAGGAAAGTGGCTAGTGAAGTCATCTCAGACTTCAGTGTCTCAAACCTCATCACTCCATCAGCAAATTCGGTCAGCTCCCCCTTCCAATAATAATCAGAATCTACTTCTGCCCTCCTGGCCTAAGCCTCGCTCCCTGGGACATCTGCAGCAGCCTCCTCACTGATATATGGTCAAGTCCCAACACAGCAGGTTACGTACCCCCAGCTCAGAATCCTCACATGCCCCTCTCCCACGGAAGTCCAAGGCTGGAGCTTTTTCAGAGTCTAGGGGCCCTACACCACCTTCCTCCCATTACTCTTCCCCTCTACTACAATGGCCTCTATCCCCATCTTAGCTCAGGCTTAGGGCTTTGGCTCCAGCTGCTTCTGCTGCCTGGAATGCTATTGCCCCTGGATATATATCTACAAAGCTAACTCTCCGACCTCTTTCAAAGTCTTTGTTCAGATCCTAACTTCTCAATGAGGCCTACCCTAAACACACTATTAAAATTACAGCCAACTTCCCTGCCCCATCCCTGTCTCCCATCCTAGCACTCCTAACCCCACCTACCCTATATTTTGGTGAGTTATTTATTTACTTATTTGATAGGGGGGCATCACTTACCAGCTTCTAACCAACTATATAATTTATCTACTTATCATGTTTATTTTCTGTCTCTTCCTAACTAGAATGTGATATCCAAGAAGGCAGAGATTTATATCTTATTCCTCAATACTTGTGGAATGAATGGATCCACACTAAAGTACAAGCAATTAATATAGTTCAATGCATACCCTGTGCCTTTTGTATAGTTGCATTCTCAGCGGGGACAACCCAGGCTTTGGGCACTGGGATGGATTACTAATAGTGGAAATCCATGTATCAGCCAGAGTGCGGAGGTCTTTTTTGAGGCACCTATCTCCAATTACAGAAATGTCACCATATTGACAGAGGCAGTCTCCTTCTTTTCCTGCTTCTCAGTCTTTGCTGGCAATGTCTCTGACAGGGTGTGGGGGTGGCATTAGAAGTTACTGTCTCTATTATCCATCTGTCGGTTCAAACTGTCCAAGTTTTTAGGGAGATCAGCCAAGATCTGATCAATCAGAGATCAAGGGATAGGGAACAAAGGAAGGAGGAAAGGAGGAAGAAAAGGAGAGAGAAGAGGTTCGAGGGGTATAAGAGAACCTGCTCCAGGCTGTGACTCTCAGGTGTTGGAGGAAGGGGCACCAGGTGACTCAAATGCAGGCCACACCTGAATACAGTGAATCATGGCTGAGTCCTTGTCTATGGGATAGGGTGGACTCCAGGAATGGCCCTGGGGATTTGCCATGTGACTAAAGCTGGCGTTGCCCTGCACTACAACACAACTGCTCAGCTGTCCAGACAACTGGTCACACTCTTCTCTGTGCTTCCCCAGGAACCAGGGAGAGAAAGTGGGCCTGGTGTGTTACAGAGGCACAGATAGCAGCCCAGCCTTAGGAGCGGGGAGGCTAAGCAGGACAGAAGCCGCCTGTCATGAGTGACTCTTTCATAGCCCTTCTCCTCTTCCCAGTCTCACCTATCCAACCTGAATGTTCACCCAGTGGAAAACTGTGCATACAGCTTGAGCCCAAGGGCTGGGAGCAATCAGGCAACTGGCCTAAAATCACTACAGCTGATGTCTGCTGAGTGCTCGCAGTGCCCAGGCACTGTTCTGAGCCCTTTGCATGTATCCA